GAAGGCATTTATTCTGGAGGGGTATTGAATTGTGGAAGAAAAACTTGGTTAGTTTTACATTCGCTTTCAGACTTGTTTAAAAATCTGTAAAAACCTAAAAACACAAGTATGTATGGTCTTAAATGTTCCATCTCTAAATATTAGTATTAATATTACACACTAACAATATAAAACTTAATAACATTGTTTTGGCAAAATATTAATCTCTTTTGTTCCTGATGATTATGTGGCCAAATAATACAACAATGCTCAATATTATTTTAGTTAATTTCTTTATATTTTATTTATTAGTTGTTTTTTTTAATACAGGTACATTAATAATAACATTTATGATCATTTATAGTTGTTTAAAAATAAATACAAGCTAAAGAAAGACACAGTCAAGCATGGAGATGAGACTATTTATTTTTGGAGCTTTTTGCTACAACAGAAATAAAACATTTAGACATTGTGACTATTATTTAATTTATTTATTTAATTTAATCTCATTTTGAAGACGAAAGCTGTGGTCTTTGTGATTATACTAAACTTACTCATCATTTGCAACAAGATTAAGCTCGGATGCATCCATCAGACCTCCTGTAGCTTTGACTAAAGAATTGTTTTTGGGAAGTTGATGCGTGAAGCTGGACCCACAATCTGTCTTTGGATTTAAAGAAAGCACTTGAAAGCTCCAAAACTAAAACAGTGAGCCCAAGTGAGATTCTTCCAACAAATTAGTCACTTTGTAGTTTAACAGTTTAAAATATTTTATCCATCTTAAAGTTACCAAGCTCCTCCACTCTTTAGCTCAGAGCAATGAGAACGTTCTGGTTCTGGTGTAACGAGCCTCGTTTTAACGTCTCCCTGCCGTTTGTCTGTTTCCAGCTGAGTCAGACGGGTTCAGTGATGGACAGACTCAGAGAGGAATGGACCGGTACCTGGACAGCCTGTTTGAACCAGTTCTGTCAGACAGCAGCTCAGTGAGTACTCACGCTGATTTACTGTGAACTACACGTTTAAATGCTGCATTTACCAGCCAAACGCACTACATTTTGTGCATATAGTACACACCATGTGTGTATAAGTACTTTTGTAGATACATATTTAATAGTCAGTCAGTTAAACTGATTAAGTTCAACATTCTTGGTTAAATAATAAGAATCAGTAGAAATATATTGTCAATACATCGAACTGTATTGCTCATGTAAGTCAAAAACAACAACGAATGGATTTATAAAATATATATTACTTTTTATTTTGTGCTCTGCCATCTCAGTGAATGGAAGTGGGCGTTGATGGATGGTTGGACCAAGTGATCCGCCTTCTCTGTGTCTGTGCATGAATGGAGAGGGCAAGAAGGGTGATTAGGTTACCGAATGACCTACCGTATTAGACACTAACAGCAAGCAGCTTACTTTTAACAACGTGGGTGATTTGACTTGTGCAACAGGTGGAAAATACTCGACAAACGTGTAAAAAATAGACAGAAGTGCCTGTTAATGACACTCAACATGGAGCGTTTCTCATTCAAGGCACAAGAAGTTTTGGAGTGGGGGCTAAAACATCTAAACACTAAGCATTAAAGGTTGTTTTATTTTTCAAATTCTTTGGTTTAGACATAAACTTCACATTTAAACAGCGTAGGTCTTATTTCGTGGCCATTTTAGCTTTAATTTCCTTTTGATGAAATCAGATTTTCTCCATTGACTTCTCACTAACGTTCTTATTCCAGCAGCCTGAAGGCTAATGCAACATTAATAAACATATAACACTGTACATATAGTTAGTTTTGGACATTTGGATTGGTTTTGTTGGATTAAATTTACTTTTTCTGTGTCACCAAGTTTGTGCATGTGGCGCTTGCATGTGTGGAGCATCACCTACAGTGTATATGGTACTTCCTGGAGCGTATTTAGTTCCTGCAGCTCTACTTACTCCCTTAGAAAGGGTTTGAATGAACACTCCTTCATGTTCTCTCTGTTTGTTTCCCTCCAGTTTTGCACTTTCGCTCTTGTTCTTTAGTTTTTTGTTTTTTAAATGCAGGTTCTCGCTGTCTGCAGTCATCCTTTCGTGTTTCGTTGAATCTCCATTCTTTGGTTGTTTCTGCCTGCCAGAGCATTGAAAAGGCAGGTTTGTCAGCGAGAATGAAAGGAGGAGGTGGTATAGGAGTCACAGGAGGAGGACGAGGAGAGGGGCAAGGTTACACGCCTCCCAGCCGACCATATCCACCAGGAATACACCCCGGAGGTAAATTCCTGTTGTCTGTGCATTTACTATTTTAACTTCTTCATCCACTTCTTTCTGTTTCTCTGTGTTATATAAATTATTTAGCTTGATCTAAGTGGGGCATAAATCTTTAGCTGTACTTTTAACATTTTAGAGATCGCCCTGAATACTGGAGACATGTCCAGGTTTTTTTTTTATGTTTTAGCTTACTTTTTATCAGTTATACCCTTCTGTCATCAAGGGAAATTATTCAAAACAGGTAAAATCTGCCAAGAACGGTGCATGAGATTTAAAATCCTTGAATCGGTTTTAAAGTCAGTAAAATAAAGACTGGAGTGTTTCAGTCTTGTTGGTCAATTTAGACTTTCAGGGTTGTGGTTTAAAGGTTCGGGCCTACAGTTCATCAACTTTAATGTGCTGTTTAGGAGCTGTAATGAACACTCTGGTTTGATAAATAATGCATGAACAACCATTCATTGCAACCACAGAGGACTTTACTCATTGGCATTTGTTATTTCTGTTTTTTTATTATTATTATTAAATAAATTTATTGTTTCTGCTATTTATTTCATAACTATCTGTTTGCTTAGCTCATTTTGTCTGTTTTATGTATGCATCTCCTTGTTGGAATCAAAAATTAACATTGTGCACTTGTTTTGAATCCACATTATCAAGTTACAAACTGTGACACCATTATTTATTTCAAAACACTTGAAATGTAAGCATTTCTTTTTTTTGTAGTGAATTCTCTTCAAACAAAACTAGAAATGGTGACAGTTTATTTTCAACTAGATACGTTTAAAAGAAATTATACATACAGTATAAGAGTTTCCATAATGATTGAAGGAAACATCTGTAGTGAGAATTGGGAGCAGGTGGAAGAGAGCCTGAAGAGGTTGAGGCATGGTCTGGAGAAGAGAGGAATGGAAGTAAAAAATGTGAATTAGAGGGAAACGGGTGTAACAGTGAAGCTACAAGGAGGTATTTAAAGTGGATGAGTTTAAGTAGTTGGGATCAACCCCCGAAAGCAATGGGCAGTTCACAAGATGGGTGGAGGCAGGGTGGTGGTGATGGAGATGAAAGTCAGGGATGAATTGTGACATAAGGAGAACTGCAAGTGTTAAAGAAAAAGTTTAGAAGATAGCAATGAGACCTGCTTTGACGCATGGTTTGGAGAAGGTGGCACAAACAGAAAGACAGGAAGAGGAGCTGGAGGTGAACATGTTCAGATTTTTACAAAGAGTGACCAAAATGGTCAGGTTTAATTCATTTCAATTCAGTTCAGTTTATTTATATAGCACCAAGTCACAACAGAAGTTATCTCAGGGCTCTGCACAGAAAGAAATGAAAATTTCAGAAGGACAGCATAGGTTGAGCAGTTTGGAGACAGAGTTCGAGAGGTGAGGCTGTGATGGTTAGAACATGAGCAGAGGAGGGACAGTGGACATGTTGGACAAAAGTTGTCCACTATAGAGCTGCTAGGGAGGAGAGAAGGAAGGCTGTGGTGGAAGTACATGGATGTAGTGGAGGAGGATGTGCAGAGTTGGTGTGACAGAGGAGGATCCCAGGGATAATGGTGAGATGGAGGCAGATGATCCAAGTAGTGACCCCCGAAGGGAGCAGTAGAAAAAAGAAGCAGCAAATATAAACCTTATAGCTTCATACTCCATGCTTCACTAGATTAATATATCCAGCTTATCAATGGTTTTAAAACTTATTAACGGGTGAATATGATCTTACACAAAACACGTTTTTTTAATTTTTACAGTTGAAATATTTATAGATGAAGAGATATTTATTATAATTGCAAGTGCCATCAGAATGGCCAATACTGTACAGTACACGGTGACATTTTTATTTTTTAAACAAGTGTTAGAGTTAATTCCTTTCATTCAGAAATTCCATATTATATCTTTGAAGTGTGGATAATTCCTCAGACAGTGTTTTTTTGTGAATAAAACAGCGGTAACATTTTTTGACTGTAACTTTGTTCCCTACTCGCTGCGTCTCAAGCCGTCCCAGTGCTGCCAGTAGCAGGAGGAATGATGCCCCCCATCCCGACTATGTCAGTCCCCTCGCATCACTATCACATTGAACAACGCCAACAACAAGAGCAAGAACAACCAGAACCACCTCCACAGCTGGAACCACAACCTCAACCACAGTTCCACCAATACAACCAACCCCAACAGCCCTATTCCCAGCAGACTTCCTCTCCAACCCCTCCTGCCACTCGGGTAGCACCCACTTCTTTGCCTTCTCGCGCCCCTGCTGTTAAGCCCACAGCGGCCCCTCCATTTGGTAGAAATAATGATCCACCCCATGTCAGCGTTGTCCCAAGCGTGCCCTCACTCCCAACCGTGCCTGCAGTCCCAGGCCTACCTGTGATGACAGGTGCAGGTACAAGGAAAGAGTTTGTGCTTTGGGTTTTCCAGCATGTGTGGCCTAAAGGGAGTGGGCATGATGGACTTCCAGTCCTTTGACTTTTAAAGTGTGTTTTTTAAAAACCTCACACATTTGCTGTTTGAATTCAATAGATTGTGTGTTTGCTGTTGTTTCCTTATACATAATTTTATTGTTAACTAATGGATGCTTCTGTTATTTTTCCTCAGGATTGGAGCAGGCAGTGTTGACTCAAGAACAACAGGCCATCATCAACCAACAAGCTATTATTCTGGTGCGATATTCTTTAACACCTCCAATGTTACTGCTACTGTTAGTCTATTGGGTCACATGAAGCAATACACAATAAAAAAATAAAAAAACATAAATCACTTCAGCATTAGGCATCAAAACTCAGCATCTGCAGTGTGTATTTAGTTGGTTTGCTGGCAATGGATGTTTGCTAGTATCTAAATAGCCAAACACAACTGTTTAATCTAACAATTAAACTGTAATATTCAACTGAGTAGGGTGATTAAGTCAAAGCACATTTGGTCAAAATGTACTTGTCTGCTTTATTGTATGTTTTTAAGATCCATGCCATTGTATTTGTGCTAATATAAATAGCTTAGCACAAAAAAAAAAAAAAAAATCACAAAACAGCTAGCATAGTTTTGTTTCAAATAAAATTAATACAAACCTAAACAACCTTAATAGTAATCACAATGACTACCAAAACTGACAGTTACCTATTTATCAGACATTTTCTTGACATTGAGCTAACTTGTTGTCACACGTCAGTGGCAGTAAATGTTATTTATTTATTAACCTTTTTTTAACCAGGCAAATCCCACTGAGATCTCTTTTGTAAGGGAGGCCTGGGCCTGAAGGCAGCCTAACATAACATACATGTTTTTGATCTGTGGGAGGAAACCAGAGAGAAAACCCACACAAGCATGAGAAGAACATGCAAACTCCACACAGAAAGACCCCAGGTCCAACTGGGAATTGAACCCAGGACCTTCTCGCTGTGAGGCAACAGTGCTAACCACTCAGCTCTCGTGCTGCCAAAATTGTTAATGTTAATTACTGAACTTAATTAGAGGTGCCATCCGTTTGCTTTGACATTTAAAGAGACAGGCCATCTGTTTATAATCAACATGTTGATTACAAAAACATCTGGATAACTCAGTAAAACTAGCCAACAAGCCAAGAAAAGTGTTCAAATTACACAGAATACAAAGTGAACAGATTTGAGAATAAATGTTTGTTCTTTTGTTGCCACCATTATGAAAGGTGAGGAATCATCTAACTACTTTTTGTCTGTCAGCAAAATACCTCATGAACCTCTGGATGAGTTTGAATGAAACTCTCAGAAAGCAATAGCTGGATGCACATCTACATCAAATTAACTTGTGAATTCAACCGAAGATAGCTGCCAAAACTAATCAAGCTTAGAAAACACAAACATGGCTATATATCAGCTAGTTTTATAGATACCAAACTTAATTTTGGTGTGGTAGTATCTGAGAGTAATCCTTAACACAAACTGTGTTACTAACAACTTTCACAAGGTCTTTGTTTAAGACTTTGGTAAGCTAGTCGGCAGGCCGCATCCATTCTTTCAAGCAATGCTAGTTCACTTTATGTTGCATTAGTTGTTGCATTGCTATTTTTAATAACAAAAAAAAGAGGGATAGATAAATGCAGAACAGTAAAATGAACACTAATTGTTGTTTGCATATGTTGTGTGTACTGCAGGCCCAGCAGATGACCATGCAGGCCATTGCAATCCAGCAGCAGATGTTGTCCTCCTTCCCGCCTGTGGCTCCTGCTCCCCAGTCACCACCCTCACATCACACAAACATCCCATCACGGTCACACACACCCAGTCCTGTGAGTGAACGAGCCTCATGGTTTGCCAATTTATTAAAACATAAAACATCATATCTTGGCTTCATCATTGTAATTTTGTTTTTTCCTGCAGACCAAGGAAAGCAACGAGTCCCGCAAACAAAGCCCTGCTGCTGCTCAGCGGAAAATGAGTAGGTCTTGAGCTGGTTTCATTGTGTACTTTTAGTCACAGCAATAACATGTCATATTTTAAGTAGTTTATGCATTGCAGGATTGTGATTTGAGCTTTAAAGGCCAGAAGTATCATATTAAACATTTGGAATGAAATCATTACTCATGTTAATTAGCCCTTTGGCTACATGCTAATTGGCTTAGCTGAGAACAACAACATTTCAAGTTCATGTTTGCGTGACCTGATAGAAATTATTTATTTGAGGTTCAACACGTGGACCCGCTCCCGAAGATGTGGTCCGATCTAGTGTGAGTAACACGGAGCGAACTGACCCAAGCCACGACATCAAAGACATCATCAAACAGCATCAGCCTTCGGACACAACATCTGCTAGTGGGTCTCCAACACAAAGGTACCCCCCCCCCCCCCCCCCCCACACACACACACCCTTTATCCAAAAGGCTCAAAATATTAGCTACAGTATGTTTCCATGGAGACATATTTCTTCTCTCTTCAGTTTGTGCATTTACTAGATGAAGTGATATGCTAAATATGCCTCTAATTATCCAAAATGACATTTTTTTAATTTTCTAAATAAACAAGTAGGCTGGTGCAAAACATTTTGTTTTCCCGTCTTTATTGACTAATATCAAGGTCCATGAAGGGAATGAACCCAGACGCAGGCAGACACGATGAGCTCCGGTAAAATAAAACTAGTTTCGTTTAATAAAGGAAAACAAAGGGCTGACGTGGCAGCTACTACTTATGAAACACAGGGGATCACAAACAGGACGACCAAGACGTCTGACAGGGAGTCAACACAATGAACTGCTGTAGGAGTGGTGATCAGAAGTGGTTTAAATAGGACAGGGGGAGAGAGGAAAGTGGCAACGACTGGGTGATTACTAATTGGAAACAGGTGTGAGTGGATACTGACTGAAGAAGGGCTGAGGAGATAACACAGGGAGCTGAACCAAAACACAAGGGACAGAAAAATAATTGAGCCTCGAGGACTCATTTACAAGAGAGACCTGAAAACATAAACCACAGGGATAAATACAACTAAGATAAACTAACTAAATAACAAAAAATCACGGACTATGCCAACTAAATGTTTCATGTAGTTAGAGAAGACAAGCACACTTCAACATACATATTTCAAACTTGTTTGTTGTACCGGTGATTCTTTCAGTAAAAACGCTAAGGCCACATTCCTGCTTGTTGATGTGAAAGATCAACTAAAATGTGGATGATGCCCCATTAGTTCATGAAGCGTCCATGATAGGTTTGCCCAAAGTTTCTGTATTGACATCATGATGTTTTTTTAAATTGTAGAATGAAAGCAATAGGGGTTTGGATGGACAGTGGTGGCTGCAGTACACCAAATCTTTGACATGGGTTATGTGACAGGGCTTGGTCGTCAAGAGTTTGAAGCTGGGCTGGCTACGCTGGCCCCTTGCCTGAGCAATAACATTACGCTATTAGCATTATGGTTAGCATGATGCGATTGTCTAGTGCATTCTTCAATTTGAACAGGTCCAAGAGAGTTGTGCCAGCATAGGCTTAGGGCATGGTGTGGTCTTGGGTACTGGATCTTGCATACAGCAGTGTGGTGGTACCATTATCAGAATGTGCAGCTGTGGTGTGGTAACAGGACAGCATGTCAAGGACTTGAAAAGGAGCAGGAAAAAATATTTTGGGAGTACTAAGAAAGTAGCAGAGTCATTATTGCTTGTTTTTTTTCCAAATTTGTTGCAATCCAGCCATGTTCTATTAGACTGTGGAAAGTGTAGTGGGGTTGCCATCAGTTCAAGTCTTCTTCTCTTAGTATCAATTAAAATAGAAAAATGGGAAGAGTGTCGCCTGTTCATAATAAAACAGGAACCCAGGGATGAAAGTGAAGACTGTTGGGTCACTGTTCTCCTTGCTGAATTTACTAATCAAGAATTGAGCACTGTCAAAAATATATTTTTATATAATCACACCAGTTCGTTCTTACAGAAGGATCGATCATACTTCTTGCAATAACATGTTTGTGTGATTGTGTCTGGTTTTATGTTCCTGTGGAATGGATTATCAAATTGTTTACTTCACTTATGTCTGTCAGATTAAATGATGTTCAAAATGGAGCTGAATTAGGGTGATTACTCTAATCCAGCAGTTGCAATACGCCTTTTTGCCATTGAGAAGTGCGACTCCACTCTGCTCTCATCTTATTGGTTCTTTTCAGATGTAGGTGATTTGCCACTGTGGCTTGCTTCCCTGCTCCATGGGCGGGATCGTAACTGGTCTTTGTGTTCAAGCCACTCCACCCATTGTGGTCCTTAATCGTTCTATAATTGGACTTCATATTTTTTTAGCTTATCTCTGCATTGCATTTAAGTCTAGGTGTAGTCATGCTGTGCCATCATCTCCAATATCTCTGTAAATGCGCTCATTTCTTGTGGCACCATCCATCAACACAATCAGAGAGGAAGTGGAGGTTCAGATTTAGTTACCAGTTTTGCTGGTTGGGTCATCCAGTGATGTATATCTGCTGGTCAATTAACAGCTGCTGCCTGCTTATGTCAAAATCAGCACCTTGGAACAATCACCTTGGAGCAATCTGCTTGGGACCACAAACGAGGTGGTCTCATAAACCAGGCTGAGTTGTGGTGGGTACTGGCAGTGGGCAGGCCCCTAACTGGTGCGGTGTGGTGCGGAACTGATGAGAGTTGAGACAGTGACAAACCTTAAGTCATCAATATGTCTACAGCTGATAGTAACGACCACCACATCTATTTCAGTTTATTCAGTGTAATTATTTTAACACGTCTAGGAAAAGCGATGGAAAGAAGTTCGGGAAGAAATCTGACCCTCATGACGAAGCAATGGAGATCCTCAAAGATCAAATGGCAAACCCACGGCCACCGGTAAACCCCTAACCTCACACTAGCACACACAGACACACAAACAAGCCAAAGCTTTATCTTACTGTTCTAAAACTTTAGTCTCAGAAGAAGCCTCAGCCTTCCCAACTTAAAGACGACAAAGTTAAAGTCGCCAAAGCGACCAACCCGCGACCTGCAGGACCAAGCAGCTCCACCTTACCACCGACCCCTCCTCCAGGTGAACTGACTATCTCATCTTTCAGTAATCAGAAAAACAGACTGAAAACCATCGGCACATTTCACACGAGAAGATTATCTTCAGTAACCTCACTGGTTTGTGTCTCCAGTCTCCAGGGATTTACCAGTAGAAGAAGAGGTTATTCAGACTCAGCTCCACAGCAGGACCAGCGATGAGTATTACACCTACTCCAATGTCCCCTGGAAACTCTTCATGAGGAAGGAGGCGAGCATCAAATCAGTTTTCATTTCACCTCAGGAAATAAATGAGGGATCAAGGTTTTAACAAACGTTGTGTACTTTCTTAACTCACTTTGTTTTCTTTGTTTACAGGTTTTCTACCCAAGAGAGACTTTGAACAATCCTCTGCTTCTTGACATGACCTTTAGACAGGTTGGTTAAAACATTAATTCTGTAAATAACACTTAAAAGTGGGATTTTTATGCTCAATATTTGTTTTTATTTTCAGTGGATGATTAAATCAGATGAAGTTTTACTTCATCACTGCAGATATTATTATTAATAAATATTTAATACCATTATGCTGTTTGCTTTGCTGCAATACCTCCGCTTAACCGTCGTGCTGCCTCGTGGGTCATTTTGACCTAAGGGGGTTAAGGCAGAGACTCATCTTTGACTCATTTTAATTATATCCAAGTAAAAGATGCAGCTTCAGACTCAGAAGAACTTTGGGAAGAAGTTATTCCAAATTCCCAATAAAACAGAAGAAATCAGGACCGTCCTGCTGGAAACGGATTTAAGCTGAAATGATCACTCCAGACATTAATCATTACTGCAATAGATAATCTAGTGTTTTAGGAGTAACACAAAAGTCTTTGCACCATTGTCTTATATTATATTGAGGAAACAAACTTTATTTCTAAAGATGACGAGCTAAAGGTTATCTTGGGATAACAGATTAATCAAGAGAAAATCACATCAAAAACGGTTAGCAGTATGTTGTTTTTGTCTTCTACTTCTTTTAATAATTATAAAAGCTTTTCCCCCGTATGTCAGATATGTTAACATTATTTATCTTGCAGGTTGTCCACGACACATTCTGTGAGGCCTGTGTCCGCATCAGTCAAGAGGAGCGGCAGAAGATGAAAGCCTTGTTTGGTATAAAAAATTTCAATAAATTGATACACATACTAAGTTTTTACTGAAGAAGTACACTTTTGTTCCTAATGTAGGTGGGAAGCTTTGGTTTGCACTCAGGAGGTGAACACTTTGTTCATCCTTTCTTCTCTTTGGCAGCGGAGAACAAAGTGGACCAGACATCAGGAACACACGACGAGACCCTGAAGAAGAAGGTGGTTGCCGTGGCCAAAGACTCGTGGGAGATCTACTTCTCACGTCTCTTCCCAGCCTCTGTGGGTTTGAGTGTGAAAATTCAACCAGTTATTTTCCACCAAGGCTTCCTTCTATTGACCTGCATGAGCTTCAACCATTCATCAGTTTGCATTGTTAGGTTGTGGTGTGTGTTTTTCAGGGCAGCGTGGGAACCGGAGTGCAGGTGTTGTCTGTGTCTCATAAAGGCATCAAACTGCTGAAACTGGTGAAGAGCAGCTCTACAGCTTCAGACTACTTCAGAGTGCTGAGGCCTTACAGGTGATCATCTCAGAACACACCGATGTTGAAATGATCACATACCAAACAATAAATACAAGCATTATTAAAGAGTTCTAGTATTTGTAAGTTTTGTTTTATTATTTAGTATTTTGATTTGAACTTTGCTATGCTTGAACTGTGAAAATGTTACCTCTACTGTATATAATTCTGAGTTGCTTTTTTAAAAATTTGCTGTAAATGATTGAGGAAAGATGGATTTTTTTTTTTGTAATCTCTTAAACCAATGGTTCCCAGCCCTGGTCCTTGAGGAACACCATCCTGCATGTTTTAGTTGTTTCCCTGATTTGAATCAATGGGTGACTAACAGGCTTCCGCAGTACTTGATGACGCAATTAAATCACTGAATCAGGTGTGTTGGAGCAGTGAAACAACTAAAATGTGCAGGATGGTGTTCCTCAAGGACTAGTGTTGGGAACCACTGTCTTGGGAAGCTGCTGAATCAAATATCGGACCACACATAAATTAGGATAAGGTTTTGATCTGCAGCACTGAAACTACAAAAGCTTTTAAAAAATAATCCATTACTGCATCAAAGACTTGGTACTGTATTAGTTTCTAAAATAATGTTTGCGAGAACCGTTGTAAAATTTCTGAGTTTGAAGTTGTTTCAAGACAATCTAGATCCATTCTAGTCTTTGCTCTGCTCCGATTAGCCATGAGCTCATCAGTCTGGTCAGATAAACCAAAGTGAGGTTGTTCAAATAGTTATCTACAACAGGTAAGATATTAGGTGTTTATTACCTCTCTAAGTACTTTTGAATGGTTTGATTTGGTTATGAACCTTCCTTAGATTAAGTGATAAGAGCCTTTGATTGTTTTGATCTTTGATTCTCAGCTCAGTTCCTGGTTTGACATTTGACTTCCTGTGCAGCTACTCGGACATCCTGTTCTTGTCCGTTCCGTCGAAGAACATGCTGGAGTTCAACCTGACCAACGAGAAGCTGATCCTGTTCTCAGCCAAGGCCCCGCAGGTCAAGCACATGATCGACCACTTCCTCACAGAACTCAAGAAGGTCAGAGACACTGGCTTATTTTTTTAACGTCTAAGTAGACAAGGGGTTTTACATTTTTTAATATCTAAGATTATTTTAACCAACTGGTAAACTTTTTCTACTTGGTCAGAATGAAACTCTTTATAACTTATTTGTCAGGACTCGGAGTACGTGGTGGCAGTGAGGAATTATGTCACAGAGAGCAGGAATCAGCTCAGCTTCCACAAAGGGGACATCATCAGGCTGCAGCGCATGGACGGGCTGGAGTCTGGTGAGTCACACACACAACAGACAGGCTGAGGAGTTTCACTGTAACACCTTTCTGCTTCTGTGAACCTCTGTGAATGTTCAGGCAAACAGTACGGCTGCATCGTGAGGAAAAAGGTCATGCTGCTGGAGGAGGTGAAGAGGGACACGGCTGAGTTTGGTGGGTATGGGCCGACTTTTTTTTACTATATATGTGTGTCTGCACACAAACTTTTACATAAACTGTGCATACTCTCTGCTGCCCTGTGTGCACAAACAGGCTGGAGGTTTGGGGCCGTGTTCGGAAAGTCCGGAGTGTTTCCCAGTGATTACGTCCGTCCTGTGGCTGCTCCTGACTTCCTGGGTCTGCCCGCCGAGCGCGTGGAGCCTCGGGACAGGCAGGGACGAGTTGCTGCATCAGCTGCCGTTGCCGTAGCAATGGGCTCAGCTGTGGCTGCTCATGAGCTCGACCTCTCCACAGAGGTGCAAACGACTGAACTTTAGTCTCCTCCCGTCATATAGTTGCATCTTTTTTTCTAAACTACAAAGCAACAAAACATGAATTACAAATTAAAGTTTTTAATATTAGAACGCTTGTTTTTTTTTTGTAGATAAATTGTTTTTTTGTGTTTCAGGTTGTAAATGAGATGTATGGGGAGAGCTGGAGCGCCGAACTGAACGACTCGTCTCTGCAAAGCAATCAGTATCTCATGACAGAATTTGCCAAGAAGTACTTCAGGGAGGCGCAGAGGAACAGAAAGTCAGTCGCATGAACACTCCCATGAGCCAAATTTAAAATAACACTTAAATTAAATGGCTATATTTTCCATCAGATTGATGCAGTTACAGTTAGTTTACAAACTGCTGTGTGTGTTTTCAGTGAACAGAAAACCAAGAAGGGAAAAGGGGCCAGGGACCCTGCTGACATGGTCAAATTCTCAAAGGTGACTCATATATTTGCCCTGAAACACAACTCCAGATTCACAAAGCTGTAAATGTGTTTTCAACATTTCTTTCTTGTGGCGTTTTTATTTCTAGTCTCCACTCCAGGAATCTCTGATCGACTTCTCGGACAGCGGGATGAACAGAGTAGCTGCTGACGTCTTCTTAGGTAGCAGTGCTGAAACCATGCGACAACTATAGAAAAACCAGAGAAGATGGTGGTGGAGACCACTAGTTATTTTTAACCTTAAATACTTTACGTTCTGCCATAAATGATCTGGTTAATTTTTTTTTGTCCAGCTATAATGAAATTCATGGGAGACTTCCCAATGAAAGGCCAGACTGAGCAGGACCTCGTGGCTAATATCCTGAAGGTAAACCATGAGCAGAGTTTTCATACTAAAAACAAGCAGGATTTCTGTGTACTTTTGTACTGCACTGATTTCATTTTGTGCTCATAATCTAGTTAAGTGGCGACCACGGTCTGATGAAGGACGAAGCCTACTGCCAAGTGATTAAGCAGGTCACTGCCAACACCAGCTCCAAACCGTGAGACTTCTGTTTTTTAAAAGATGACCTGGTTGTGTTGAGTGGATGGAGGGGGGTTATTTGTGTAGTTTATTGGTGTGTTTTGTGCAGGGAAAGTTGTCAGAAAGGATGGAGGCTGATGTACATCCTCACAGCTTTCCACCGCTGCTCTGACGTCATGAAGCCCTTTCTGCTGAGGTTCCTGCAGGACGCCTGCGACGGTCCTGGGATGCCATACCAAGGTATAAAATCAATGCATCCTATAACAACTACAGGCTGTGACATCAAATCCCAATTATGTATCAATTTACTGGCTGCTGGTCTTTAATGACAGGTATTGCCAAGGCTTGTGAGCAGAACCTGAAGAGGACTTTTCAATATGGTGGACGTGTTCAGTATCCCAACAACATGGAGCTCAAAGCCATGCTGGTTAGTATTTAATTCACTCATGCAGCTTTATTTATGTGGGATACATGTCTAAAACTTGTTAAAGATGGTAAACATATATACAACCAACCAAACTGAAAACAAATATGTTTAGTCTATGATAGAAAAAAACTAAATATAATAATATTCAGAGTATGACCTTCTGCTTTCAGCCTTAAATTTAGTCAAAAATGCTTTAACAAAGAATGTGTCCACACTTCAGTCAAACTGTTAAAGTCTTCAATGTATATTTGAGTTGTGCAAAATATCTCTTGGTACTGTAATAAGGGTTTGGCAAAACCTTTTTTTTATTCTTTACTGACGTATCTGTACATGTTTTTTAAATTATATTTATGCACCATATTTCACAGGTGCATTATGTTGTGTTGTATTTGGTATAATGGTTAATTTATATAATTATTTATATGGTTTATGTTGTATTGTATCATATCATGATGACCCTAAACTTACACATAAAATATCCTAAGTTGTATTTTAAGGTTTTTACTAGCAGTAATAATGTCACTTTCATTGTATAGAGTTTTGTGAAACAACAAAATGTGATCATGCTGGCAATATATGTAGAAACATAGAAACTTAAAGATTTTTTAAAAACATTAACAACATCAACATATTACTAAAGAAAAACTCTAATCTAGACACACACAATGGATAGCTCAGTAAATGAATAAATTAAAAAAGTAATAAATAATTTTTACCTAAATAATCAATGTTCTTTAAATGTGAAAAGTATTTATTTCAAGGAGCAGAAAATGTTTGTCTTTTTTTAACATCCTCAGTTTATTTTAAAAATCATCATCCTTTCATTGACTAATTAAAGAAAATCTAAACAAAATAAAACATATAAATTTGATACATGATGAAGAATGTTAGAAATAACATGTTGTCAGGGAAGTTCATGTCTTATCCAGAATAATTGATGTGTCCATCAAACATGGAGGAATATGAAAAAAATTAACTTTTCCTTCCATCCATTATCTTTACCTACTTCTTCCTTTCCCAACACCAAATTTTATTTGAACAAAGGTTGATGTGAAATAGTTTTTCAATGTTATTTAATATTATGGTAATGCTTTTAATATTTTTATTCAATTATAAAGTACAATAGGTGAATTTGGTATGATCTTTTGGAGACGATTTTCCAATATGGCCATTTCACGCCTCCTGCAGTGAATCTGATAGGCTGATGAATATCGCCTGTCGGCTTCGCTCTGCGGGCGGGGCTGGTGTTCAGTCGTCTGATTGGCTGTCTGTGTGCAGGCTGGGCGGAGCTCCAAGAGACAGCTTTTCCTGCTCCCAGGTGGGATCGAGAGGCACCTGAAAATCAAGACCTGCTCTGTAAGTGCAGCTCGCTCACAAACAGAACCGAGCAAGATAAGCATCAAAGTAGGGCAGCAATAGTGGTTGATGACCTTAAAATAGGTTATACATATAAACAAATATGTAATATATAATGTTTTTATGGAAGATGATGTCAACCCTGCATATAGTTAAAACAGCTTTCAATGTCAGGTTGCTTTGGATGCGATTGAAGAGCTTTGTTTGGAGATGGAACTCCAGAGGTCGGAGGCGTTGGATGAATATTCCGTCTTTTTGGTCACACACAAAGGTACGAGTTTCCTTATAGGAGGTCGCTAAACACTTTTTACACTCCATTATATTTTTACATGAAGTAAAGCTAAATAGATGATACTCGAATTGCTTTCTTGTTTAGGTCAGAATGTACGTCCCCTGAACAAGCGCGAGTACATCCTTGACATTGCTACAGAGGCCGAGCCAGTGGACGTCAACTACAGTTTTTGGTTCAGAAGAGTCGTATGGAGTCTGGCACTGAAACTAGACAATGAGCTCTATGTGACCATGCACTATAACCAGGTACATCACTGCTGTTTGCACCAACTATCATTGTCACATGAAGGTATTTCCAAGGTTATGGGAAATACTGCTTTTAGACCTTTCTGCTGACACTGTGGACCACAACATCTTGTTGTCCTTGAGCAGGTGGTTGGTATCAAAGGCACAGTTTTATCTTGGTTTAGATCCTACCTGACTGACAGGAGTTTTGTTTTTTGTTTTTTTTCATTTAGGGGACTGTTCTTCATCTGTGGTTCCAATAATATTTGAGGTTCCTCAAGGGTCTGTTTTAGGTCCACTGCTTTTTAATCTGTACATGTTGTCCTTGGGGTCCAAGAGCTACTGCCTCTCAGCAAGCAGGTTACCCTAGTTCAAATCCCAGACGGGGGCCTTTCTGGGTGGAGTTTGCATGTTCTCTCCGTGCATGCGTGGGTTTTCTCCAGGTACTCTGATCTCCTCCCACAGACCAAAAACATGCATGTTAGGCTGACTGATAACTCTAAAATTTCCCTAGGTGTGAGTGAGAGAGTGAATGGTTGTTTGTCTCTATGTGGCCCTGGGATGGACTTGCGACCTGTCCAGGATGTACCCCACCTCTCACAGAGTGATGGTGGGCCATGGGCACCAGTGACCCTCGCGACTCGAAAAGGAAGAAGTGGGTAAAGATATAATAGATGGATGGATGGATAAATTAAAATAAAACTGAAGTCATCAGCTTTGGTAAATGTAATACCCTTGACACACTTGGCCCCTTGACTTCATACAGCCACTCCATTGTCAGAAACTGGTTATTTTCGATAAGGCTTTTAAATTAGACAAACAAAAATATGTAGTTGTGAAGTCCAGTTTCTTTCAACTAAGACTCATTGTCAAGGTGAAGTCTTGTGTCCCTTTTAGAGACCTTGAAAAGGTGATTCACACTTTTATTACCTCTTGTTTGGGCTATTGTAATGTTCTGTATGTTGGTTTTGATAAATTATCTTTTGTTTTCATTCAACCTTTATTTACACAGATAAATCACATTTAGCCTTGAAGACTCCTTTACAAGTGAGAGCTGTTTAGACAGACAAAAAGTAATGAAAGTGACACATGTATAGGATTTTGGAGGCAAGAAAATTCCTATCAAACTTTCACTCCTTGGCCGAGGAGAGAGAGCCTGATATTGAAAAAAAACACCCCATATATAGGCACATAGTAACACAGACATTCCGCAGGGGAGGGGAAACGACAAAAGTGGTGATTGTGTTGAGGACACTCCAGAGGCACTGTAGGAATTCTGATAAGAATGGTACAGTCAGTTAGTTCCCTCTGGTGAGATCCGTAAACACTCTTGAGGGGTGCCAAGGTCGACCTAGGACAGTGCCAGAGAAAATCCAAGAGTCCTGAAATGATGACACAATGTTTATTCAGCCGGGTTCCTCTGATAGGTCTGCAGACTCCCTCGGTGGGAGGGGAAGGGGCAGAGCATTGAATTTACAGGGCCTCCAAGTGACTTGAGATGAGGTGGCCTGTCAAGGCCAGCTGGGGAGCCAAATTCAGATAAGCAACATTTGTTTTGGGAACAGGCAGAACTTTACTGATTCATGTCTGACTTGAGTCTTTGCTGGTCCTCACGAATCCCAAACGTCCAAATTAAATGGACACATCGCTGGTCCATGCTTGAGAGTATTCCCCGAGATCTGATCCATCTTGCCAGTGAATCCTAGCTGTCACAAGTGGCCTGCGATTCTCACAAATCACATCCAATTTACAGTTCAATTCACAAAGCAATTGAGTCTGGGTGCTCGAGGCACGGAGCAAACCATCACATAAGGCAGGCAGCCTGACAAGGGCCAAATTTGCTGCCAGCGACGTCCTTGTTTGTTGATGAACAAGGAACCAGACAATTCAAAAATGTAGGAAATCTGTTATCATAAATCCATATATATGCATCTTTAACATCCTTGATGAACAGCAGAGATAGACACGTCACCTTCCAAACGCTCCAGGAATCCATGACATATCCAGCTGCGTGCGTGTTATCAGGACAAGTTGGCTCACCTGAAGCTTGTCTTCTCGTTGAGAAAATTTTATCAGTTGCGTTGAGAGACCAGTTGGCCAGATCCATAGCAAAAATTACAGTTCGGAAGATATGTAGAGAGAGGTTCTGAAGCTGTTTCACAGACAGGACAGAGCAAAAACAAAACAAAGGAGTGAGAGGAGAGGAAAGTGTCCACCCTTGACAAGAGCAAGTGCTGAAGTGACATCTTTACATCACTTACAAACTGTCCAGAATGCAGAAGCTCATCTTTTAACATCAACTAGAAAACATGAACACATAACCCCTGTCCTGGCTTTCTGTCTACTTCCGGATTGATTTTAAGGTTTTATTGCTTGTTTGTAAAGTCTTAAAATGCCTGTATTATCATATTTACGCAATCTTCTTAACACCTACACTCCAGTTAGAGCTGATTTTTCTTGTAGTTGTGTGTTGTATTTTATTGTTAACTTTCTTGTGTTTCTTGAGTGGCACAATATGTTTTTTTTTTCTTTTTATATTGGCTTCATTGTAAAGCACTTTGGTCAGCTTTTGTTGTTTTTATGTACTATAGAAATAACATGACATTGACATGGAAAACGTGCTGCAGCATTGACTGGTGGATGGCAGAGGATGTGCATGTCCAGTTTAGAGGGACAATCTTGTCAATTTTGAAGTTATATTTGCCAAATAGTGATCAGTAGTTAGAACTTTATCAGTCATAGAGCCAGAGTATGATGAAAAGTGAATAAATATTGTTTGGTTGAGAAAACAACAACAAACTAAACATCACTGTAACGCAAAAATGTAGGTTTATTGTTAGCTAATGTAGAGTTCTTTCACAACAAATGTTGTTTTTGAGAAAAACTTGTTTTAAAAACCAGAGGAGAAAAAAAGAGAAATAAACTAAACTTTGTTTGGCTAGCTTTAGCCTAGCCTGGATGAAGACTTTTACCTTTTCTTCCATACTCTGCGTGCTCTGACTGATTTGATTCATAAGGTACTAACTGTTGATAACTGTGGGACAAAACTTTTATAGACGACCAACTTAAAGCACAGAAATTCACTTTGGTTACAGAACCTCTCTGACTAGCCATTAGCTTGTCAGCATAGTCAGGATTAAACTATTTCTTTAAACTCAGGTTATTCATAAAGTAATCTGAAGCAGATAAAGATAGTGATTGTTCATAATCTTTCCAGCAACCCCCCTGTCACTTCATTGTATAACTTTCCCTACACAAATTTGCATGCCACCCCTCCCCCTAAGATGAAACATGTCCTCAACTATGGACACGTTTCATGAGCTCATGAAATATGGTCATACTTAATATGGACATATGAACTCAAATACTGGGCAGCACGGTGGCGCAACTGGTAGAGCTGCTGCCTCTCAGCGAGCAGGTCCCTGGTTCAAACCCCAGTCCAGGGGCCTTTCTGGGTGGAGTTTGCATGTTCTCTCCGTGCATGCGTGGGTTTTCTCCGGGTACTCCGGTTTCCTCCCACAGTCCAAAAACATGCATGTTAGGCTGATTGGTGGCTCTGGATTGTCCCTAGGTGTGAGTGAGAGAGTGAATGGTTGTTTGTCTCTATGTGGCCCTGTGATGGACTTGCGACCCGTCTAGGGTGTACCCCGCCCCTCGTACAGTGACTGCTGGACATGGGCACCAGCGACCCCCGTGACCCAAAATGGAATAAGCGGGTAAAGAAAATGGATGGATGGATGGAACTCAAATACTCAAATACATGTTAGCAAATTCATATGTGTGTATCATTTCTACAAAGTGCAATGCTTCATGTCCGTTGCTGGATGTTTTCCAGGTGTTGCCTGACTACCTGAAGGCCTTGCTGAGCGTGGTTCCTCAGGGGAAGCCCAGTGAGCAGCACATGCAGCAGATTGCAAGGCTGGCAGCTTTACAGCACCGTGCCAAGGACTCCATCTACCTACCCACTCTGTAAATATTTGTTCAAAACTGTTGTCTGGAACATACTACAGAAACATGAGCCCTTTAAATAAAAAAAACCCACTATGCATACATGCACATACAGCATGTGCATGCAGTATTTATGGACCTGGCCTGTTCTTGTGTGTGTGTGTTTAGTCGTGAGGTGCAGGAGTGTGTCCCCCCACCATTCTACAGCAAGCAGGGCTCTCAGCTGTGGCTGAATATGATAACACAGCACATGCAGCACGTCCAGCCTTTGAACCCGCACCAGGCCCGCGCACAGTTCCTCGGTAGGATATCATCAATCTGGGAACGTGTCTTTCTGAAAACAACTTTGAAGTGTCACATTGTTCTCAAATAAAGTTAGAGGTAATAAAATGTTTTAGCATAAAGCTCAGACAAAGAACCAAAACCCACCAAACTATTTGATAAAATGGAAGAAGTAAGGCCAGTTAGATCATCTTAAAGGATTATTTTACAAAGTTCAATGGGTTTGCATAGATGACTTAACGATTTGTACATTTTTTTGCAGGTCTGGTCAGTGCCTTCGCCATGTTCGGCTCCTCTTTCTTCTACATCCAGAGTTTGAGCTCTGCCTCCATTAGTGCCCCATGCATCCTGGCTGTGAACCTGAACGGACTGCACTTTCTTAACAAGGATACTCACGTATGTCACACACAGACGGTTTCTGCAGGCTTTACAGTCCAGACACAGTTCATGCTCATCTTATTTCAGAAACTTTGACCCCACAGTCAGTTATAAAGTATGGTTATTCTGCCAGAAAAAAAAAACTATGTTTGTAGGCTAAAAAGATGGTGTATAAATGTAGTGCATAGATTTGTAAAAGATTTCATTTGAACTGCTGATTTTTTGTACGAACGCTTATAAAGCATTCGCTTCATTTGCTTTCTTCCGTACATTTTTCGGCATCGTTCTCATTTCGCAACTTTTGTGCTATTTCAACAAATCATATATATCAAAACGTTCAACTCTTTCCAGACAATCCTGTTATGACTTTTGGTTTTGGTGCAACTTTAGCTTTTTGAAATATTCAGTCCTTTTTGTTGCTTTTTTCTTCACAGAAAAATAATTGAGCTAATTTTACATCCTTCAAATCTTTAGCTCTGTTTACAACATTTTACTGCTGCTTTCACATTTTGTTCTGGTTCAGCTTCTTTCAGCTTCCTTGTGGACATTTAAACTTTTTTCAGCTGATTTCAGCTATTTTTTCTGCTATTTTGTGATCCTTTCAGATTCTTTCTGCTAACTACAACATTTGTCTAACTTATTTCTGCTCATTTCAGCTTGTCATGCTCCTTTCAGGTTATTTATGCATGTTTCAAGTTTGTCTGCTTATTCACCTACTATTTAGCTGTTTTAAGCTAATTTTAGCTTTTTCAGCTAATTCCACATTTTTTGCACTCTTTTCAACTTTTTTCGGCCTAATTCAGCAAAAATGTGTTCTCGCCACTTCCTTCTGGTAATTTAAACTTCTTTCTGCCTTTTTAGCTACCTTTTGGCTGTTTTTGCTAATTTCAGCTTTTCTCAGATAATTTCAACTGTTTTGTGCTCATTTCAGCTTCATTCAGCCTAATTTGGCAAACATGTTCTTTCTGCCTTCTTCTACTAATGTAAGCTTGTTCTACCTGTTCAGCTACCTTGTTAGCATTTTCTAGCTAACTTTGTCTGTTTTCAGATAAATACAAGTTTTTGTGGTATTTACTGCTGCTTTCATTCAACCTTTATTTTCAGCCTAATTACGGTAACTTCTTTCTGACAGTTTCAGCTTGTTATACTCCTTTCAGCTTAATTATACTAGTTCCAGCTTTTTTCTGCTTTTTCAGCTACTAGTTAGCTGTTTCTATGCTAATTTTAGCTTTTTTATTTAATTCCACATTTTTGAGCTCATTTCAGCTCTTTCCAATTCCTTCTGGTTGTTTGCTAGTTATACTCCTTTCAGCTTAATTATGCTAGTTTAAGCTTTTTCTGCTTTTCAGCTACTTTTCAGTCATTTTTGGCTAATTTCAGCTTTTTTTTTGGGCTAATGACCTAATTTTTGTGCTAATTTCTGCTTATTTTAACCTATTTTAACTTATTAACCTATGAGAAGCTCTTGACCTTGACCTCTCTAAGTGGCTTTAAGAATACGTTGGACTCCTGGCAGGGACCAATGCAGACATGTTCCTGTTTTTAGTTTTCTACATTCGCCTTATAATCTAGCTGTTTTTGTTACTTTTCTTTTTTTAACCATCCTATTTGTTAAAAAAAATAAAATAAATCTGTATGCCTTTTTATAACTGTCTATTGTTGTCACTGTTGTCCATTGTTTTTCACCGTTCTTTGTTGAAATCAGGTCTCTCTTGTAAATGAGTCCTTGAGGCTCAATGGGATTTACCTGTATAAATAAAGGTTGAATTAATGAATATTTCAGCAAATATGTGTTCTTTCTGCTTTCTTTGCTAATTTAAGCTTGTTTTACCATATCAACTATTTCAGCATGTCTTCTTTTAACTATTTTCAGCGGTTTCTCATCAAGTTCTTCTGCAAAAAGCATTCACACAAATGCAGTTTCTCTAGGTTTATTTTAGATTAGCGTTGTCTTTATACAACAACAATGTAATTCTCAGCGCTTGGTCTTGCTCAGCTTAGCTGTTAGCTTGTTGTCTGAGCTAAATTTTAAATTTAAAAATAATTTCTTATACCATGTTTTGGCCACAATTGTCAAAAGACATACAAACCGAAGTTATAATGGATCAAAGCATTAAGTATTTATTTGCTCATTGTGTGAATGCTGTTATTTTTCCAGTTTTTTTTTTTATTTTTCCATTTTTGCAGCCAAACTAATTCCTCACAATTTGTGATATTTTAGCCATTCACACATTAAAACATTCAGCTTGCTTGTTTTTTGTAACTTTTATTCTTTTCAAAATATTAAAAATTATGTTCAAATATACTGAGATCTTTTAAATCCTCCAGCTTTCTCTTTGAAATATTCATGATACACACTTTATTTTTGTCTTCTTATGGTTTAAGCTTTTAAATAGCATGTTGCTACTTTTAGCTGACCTTTGCTGCTTTTCTATATTGTTTTGCTTCTTTTAGTAAGTTCCTTTTGCTACATTTAACTTTTAGCTAGTAATTTGCTACTTTTAATTTTTAGCTAGTGTTTTGATACTTTTGGTTTTTAACTATTTGTGTGCTTATTTTAGCTTTCACAACTTTGTTTACATTTGATTAGCAAATTTCAGCAAAGTCATTCAGCATTCAATGTGTAATTTCATAGAAAATGCAGTTCCTTGAGTGACTGTCTTGAAGTAAAACTTTGTGAAGCTGAAGAGTTTGGGAAACTTTGTCTTAAACTATTTAGGGTTGAAATAAGTTTTAATAATAGACATAAAAAGGAAACATTTGACTCCCTCTGCTGGTTAAGATGTCTGTTTGTCCACTTTGATATCTGATGATTGTAAACCACACACCAAAGAAATCAGCTGTGCTATTTATATTGGCGTTTTAGTGGGGATGTGCATTCATGATTGTGTTTTTAATGTTTATGATCAGGAGGCCATGGTACGTTTCCCTCTGAAGGAGGTCCAGTCAACTCGTACCCAGAGACCAACTTCAGGCTCCAGTTACCCCTACGTGGAGATCATGATCGGAGATCTGCTCAACCAGCAGATCACACAGCTGCAGCTGGAACAGGTGTGTGTGTTAAAAGAACTACCTTTGAGCAGTAGACTGATGATATGTACTGTGTGGCGTTCGCACAGTGTTTGCTCATTGCTGATCTAAGTGTTTGTATGCTCTGCAGGGCCTGGAGCTGTGTCGAGTCATTGCCATGCACATGGAAAACATGTTGTCGGTCCGAGAGAAGAGACTCACTTTGCCACCAAGCGAAATCACTCTTCTATAGCAAAAACATCTGAAATGTTACACAAGTCACAGTTTATATCCTTACAAGTGCACTGCATCTACCTCGAGTTTTTAAAATGGAGTGTTTTGATTTTTAAAGGCAGTGATGATGTACAACTAACTGGTCAAGTAATTTATTTTGTCATTCCGCTTTTTTGTGGCACAAAAGTTACCAGGAGTCTACCATAACTTTACAGAATGATCCATTGATGGTTCAGTCTCCATTTGAAAGTTCTCACTACAGAGGAATATAAAGGGATTTTATGAGCTGTGATCTTGGTGCAACATTTATTGAAACTAAAATAAGTGTGGTTCTGCACCGAACAAATGGAGGGGGGCCTGTTACAGTTGCACTAAATGTTTTCAAGGTCTTGGACTTACATTTAAGACCGTCTTCACAATGCATGTGTAAATGAGCTTTTCTCGTTTATGTGAAGTTGCATTATCATAGAAATTATCATAAAATACAGAAACGAGAAAGTCAACATTATTTTAATTGTTATTTTCTTCTTTGCCATGAAATCAAAGAAAATGTATGGACAGGAAAATAGGATTGAGAGGCCACAACACTAAGCAATTTGCACAAAGTTAATGTTTCTTTATACAAAGCATATTTTGTTAATGCACTGCACCTTTTAATATAAAATAAAATATATAATAAATGCATGTGAATAATGATGTACAATAAAGTTTGTAATATAACATGTGATGAAAGGTCAATGAACTATTTTTTTCCAGCACTGTACATATAAGACAAACACGTCACATAAATCACAAGATTGATAAGAAATAAAACAGCCGTTTTGTAGTCATTTCACTTGTTAATAATTCACCAAATGACATTAGTAAACTTTAGCCTTTTAATGTTTAAAAGTCTGCATCTTTTCATATTAAAACAAAAAATTAAAATGCTACACGGAATATTTAAAAAATAAAGTTAGCCTGTTTTTAAGTATTAGTTCTTATTGGCTAGTTATCTTGTGTCTGTTTGTTTTGGTGTTATTGACCTACCGTTTGTCCCCGGTGATATAAGTTTCTTACAGGAACGCTCTCTTGGTGTGTTCCGTATTATAGATCAAGCGCCTCCTCTTTGAGTCCTCCGCTCTGTGGGCGTTTCTGAACAGTTTTTCTCGTAGTTCTCTTTGCGCCCATTGGTTAAGAATAACGGGGTTCGCGTGAACTGGGAAAAAGAAGGGGGCTGTGGTCAAACCCACCGCGACCTAAACAGCTCCAGGAGGGAGAGAGGGAAGAGGGGAGAGCGGTCTCCGCAGCTGAAGCTGCAGCTCCGCTTCCCAGCCTTTATGGGGCTAGTCCGTTAGCTAGCTTAGCATCGTCCGCCTTACACCCAGCCAGCCGCCGATAACTCCGGGACACCGTCCCCCGTTACCTCCCGGGTTCTCCTTCAGCTCACCGCCCGGCTTCAAGATGATGAAGTTTAGGTTTCGTCGGCAGGGCACCGACCCGCAACGAGAGAAGATAAAACAGGAGCTTTTCGCTTTTAACAAGGTAAAGTGACGGGACATGAGGAGGGGAGGGAGAGACTGGGGCTTCCTTATTTTCTACCGCTCCCCGAAAACTAAAGGAGTATTCCCCCCCACGCCTCTTAAAGTGGACTATTAGGTTTAAAGTGTAACACTTCAACCGCGAATCCTGGCTGTGGTTAATCTGTGTTACGGTTTCTGTTCCAGACCTGGTGTTGTGTCGAAAAAAAGCTCCCCACAGCCGGAAAGCGGGGGAATTAGCTGAAAGTGCTGCTGATTGATGAGCAGGACGTGCATTGTGTCGATTGGTTTAGAGGGCTGCTCACAGGCCTTTCAAACTACTTTTACACAGCAAATATTTATTTAATAGCAAATTCTGCCACTGGTCAGGCTGATAGGATTACAAATAAATGACATTTATTTGAAAATAATAAGTTATTGCATCCAAACAGCTTATGGTTAATTAGTGACTCATAAATCATATTCTAATTCACATTTTGACAGCTTATTTTTATATAAGCTGGCAAAACACAACTTGTGCCAGTCTTTTAATGTGTCTGGGAGTGGAAATGCCAATAAACTTGTTTTTTTTTAGCCTACTACTGCAGTCACACTTATAATTTTAGCCTAAAAATAGGGTTTTTAGACGGATATTTATCAAACGGAGGGGCTATGATGTATTGATGATTGCTACAGCTGCAGATACTCTTGTTCTCATTTATTCTGGATGCACTGCAGCCTTGCCATCAGAGGTTTTTGACTCCACACACTTGCATCATGTAGAGAAGAACCTATTTTGCAGCTCTGCAGCCTTGAGCTCCTGTTAATGTCTCCACAGTGTTGCAGGGTTCTCAGAGACATGCCTGTCCAAATATTGCATGTTGACAGACTGGATTTGTCACACACTCACACAAGGGATAAAATGGCCCAACCTTGTTGAAAAGAAGTGTGCAAACTTATATTACATCTGGGTGATTTTGACATATCATTAAAGTGAGAAAGCTTGTTTGTATTGGTGAAACGCAGGCATTTATGTTTTTGTCTTTGTTTTTGTAACGTTAGCAAAATCTCATGAAACACTACTTGGATTTGAATGAAAATCAAAAATAATCACTGGATGTGCATCTACAGCACATTACCTTTGGGAGTCAGCCTGTGTCAAGATGGCCGCCAGAACCAACTGACCCTCAGTAAAGCCTGCAACTCAGTCAGATTTACAGATGTTGAGCTAAAATTTGGTGTGGTAGTAGCTGAATGTTATCTTCGACGCATACTTTGAGCACTACACAATGTGCAACTTTTTATTTTTACTTAATACGTTTGACATTATCTGTGAGAGTCAACTTTGTCTCTTAGCAAAATATCTCAAGAAGCAGTGGATCAATTATTTTTTTAATGAAACCTTCAGAAAGTATCTACAACTGATGAGCTTTTAGAGTCAACCCAGCTCAAGATGGCCACCGCTGCTAAATGACCTTTGCCAAATAATTAAGTCAAGTTGACCTTTGATGATCAAAACTCATGTAAGGTGGCGGGTAATATGCATTCCTTTGAAGGAATGCTGGGCCTTTGATTGGAGCTATAAGTCCAAAGGTTGCGTTTGTTAAAATGGTATTTCCTGTTAAGCTGAATCTCTGGGTTGGAAATGCACTGAATCATAAGGCAGATCTCTGTTGATCATATTTGTGGCGCTTTGTTTCCTGCAGGAAAACAGTCTGGCTTGAAGCGATGATGCATGCAGAGGGAGGATATTTTTAAAAGTAGTGACAAATGTTTACTGGCGAGACAAGTCATCGTTCTAAAGCACAGATGATCCACGTCTGAATCTGCTCATTACAACAGCAAAGATTGCTTAACGAACACGGTCCATACTTTTAGCTGGTGTGTTGCTGTCCATTTGCCGATTCGTGTTATGGACATGCATGTGGTATTGATATTAGCATGAATGCAGTCCTATTTGCTATTCTTTTCATTTTGTAAACAAAAGCTTTTCCCCCTCGCAACAGCCTTTTTGCATCACGTCCTGCTTCCTCTGAGCTCCACCTCCTGGCACATCTCTGGTGGATTTCCAGCTGTGTGAGTGCACGTGTGTGAACAGCAGCGCCACAGAAGGATTGTCTGCACGTTATCCACATGGTCTACAGTGTGTGAAAATATGTGGCTGGGTTACCAAAATACTACACCGAGGAAGACGTGATTTTACTATGACTGATGCTAATCATCTTTTCTTGGTTTGAATGAGTCCTGGTTGACATTTTTTCAAGATGTAGAACCCCATGAATGAAAATGCTGCTGAAGAAAAATAATTGAGCCAATTTTCCAAACTAAATTAGCAGTTTTTCCTCATAAAATATTTATCATCTGTCTATGTATGTGTGCGTTTGATTATCTCTGCTGTTGGTAAAATGTCTAATGGACTATTATTTTTATGAAACTCGTAAATATTTTACAAGGAAATTTTGGAGTCCTCCAAATTCAAGATGGCCGCTACAGCTGAACGACCTTAGCAAACCCAAAAATAGCTATCATTCAGTGAATTCTTTACAATTTAAGCTAAAAGTTGGCACGTTTTGTAGCAGAGTTGTTTCCAAAATGTACTTTGAGAGCTAACGGATCACATAAGATCTGGTTTTAAAACCTTGCCATGAAATGACTCAACCGTACCCGGCTGTTTGCAAACTATCTCATGAACCAATGGACAGATTTTAATTAAAAATTCACAAATTATTCATTAACTTTTAGAGTTACCCCATTCAAGATGGCCACCAAAGCTATCTAATAGTAGCCAGCACAAAAATGACTTGCCATATTTTTCGGACTACAAGATTATAAGTCTCATTAAGTGAAACAAAACAGTCAGATACGTCAAACTTTATTCAACTCGTTCTCAATAACCACATAAGATCAGTTTGAGGTCAGTAAGCACAACCAGAATTAATACATAAGGTTCACTGTTGATTTTTGAGAAAATTAAAGGATTTTAAGTGCGCCTTATAGTCCGAAAAATATGGTAATTCAGACTATTTTAGACATATTGAGCTAAAACTTTGTGTGTTATTGGCTGAGAATTGTCCTCAACACATACCGGTACTTCAAGCCCTAACAGGTCACACAAAATCTGGCAATGTTTGTGCTTAACATCAAATTTAGGGTTCGTCAAAAATGAATAAAAATTTTCATTCTAAGAGGATCTTAGTTTAAAACACTAGCATGAAAGGTAGTGGATGATATGAATTCCTTTATACTATTATTTTTTTGAGGATATTGATATTTCTTTGAAAAATTAAAATCTGCACGTGCCATCACTTTATATACAACGGTAGATTGAAAATCTGTTGAATCTATTGATCAAACTAGACTTCTGAATAAAATGCTTCTGATAGTGCAGTCTGTGGGCGGCGAGACGTCGGCAGTGGATCGACTGGCTGGTGCATTGTGTTTAAAGTCCAGGGTTTATTTGTTTTGGTGGAACAACACACTTTTTTAACTGTTTGACACCAGCTGCAGCGACCGTCACGGGGGTGGTCTGTCCACAGGAAGCTTACTTTGATGTGTGTGCGAGTGTACAATCAGTCTGACCCGTTAAAGACAGAGTTGATCTTTTAGCACAGGTCAAAGTTACAACTCAAAAGAAATATTTTGCTCCATTCTTTACTTTTGTTGCCTTTTAAATGTTTTTCCAGCCGTCGCTCGACAAAGGCAAGAGTAAAATCTGAATTGTTAATCTTGTTTAACAAGGCAATAAAACAGTGCTGCTTACTATTTTTAACACAACTTTCTCCTAATTTTATTAAGGGAGTCCTCCCTTTTAGACGCCTCTGTGACCATACAGTCTGCTGCGTGTCCTAACTGAGCTTTTCAATAAAACTGGGCGTATGTATGTTTATCTCTTGTGCCATCTGTTAATTTCTCCCATTTTGTTTTCCTCACACCTCTTCTCTCTTTTCTTCTAGACTGTGGGACATGGGTTCCCCCATCAGCCCAGTGCTTTGGCTTTTGACCCCAACCTGCAGCTGATGGCTATCGGTACAAAGTCGGGAGCCATTAAAATGTATCCTTTTATCACAGGTGAGCCGCTGTGTCAAACACAATTAGCTCTGAAAGCATCAAAATCAGAGAAAGTGTGCAGTTTTTTCTGTAGCTGTCAGTTTGCATCTTTCCAGTTGCTTGTTATCTCTATTGTCAGTGCAGCTACAGTTTAGTTTTGAGCTGCAGGAATCAATGCAACTCCTTCAGATTTCATATTTTAATATGCCGTAGGTGAAGATCCACTCTCCTTTTTAAGTCTGAGCTATAAGTTCTGTGTAAGTTCAGTGTTAGTCAACAGCACCGCTAGCCGATTGTCTGATGGTCTGACGGTGCTGCTTATGGAGTTTAAGCGGTGAGGAAGTGCAGAGTTGGGACTGCAGAGGAGCTGTTTATATAACATGGGTCCAGTGGGGCTCTGAGCAGCTCTGTGTGTGATCACTGTGGGAAGTTGTTGTCTGCATCACTGAGGTGGAGTGGAGACGACTGATCTGTCACTTTTTTAAAACGGTTGCACTAGTAGTAGAGAACTGTTCACAGTATTTGGGTTCTTTACCAGACCAGAGAAATGCATGATTTCACTGGTTTTATAATCATCCATTGTGCATCTTGGTCATAAAAACCCATCATTATTAGTTTTGACTCCACAAACATTATCAAAAACAAGAAGAAATAAAGTTTATTTCTAACCAGAGTGACAAGCTATTGGCTAGTCTAAAGTAAATATAATATATTTAATTTTAACCTTTATTTGACCTTTTTAAAGAAATCCATTGAGATTATTAATCTCTTTTACAAGGATGTCCTGGGGCATAAATCCTACATAAATGAGGCTTAGACCAAAGTGGATTGCTGTCGTTTCCATTCTCAAAGATTTCAAAGTGGTAGACGCAAACCCTTTTACAAATCTTAACTGGGGTGCATGGATAAATTGGCCGGCCAATTTATCGGCTTCAATTTCCTTATTTTTCAGAGTTCAGCTGATGCATGATGAACCGATTTTACCGATTTCTGTAGTTTTAACAATTGTCTAAACTTATTTATATTTCAGAGCACTATCTCATGGCCAGTTAAAACATGTTTGTATTGTTTCTAGTATAATGTTCAAGAGTATGTTTTTCAATAAAATAAGATTGGAAAATTGAAGGTGCATTGTGACCTTATAACACCTGACAGTGTCTCTTATAAAACAAAATTGGTATCGGCCAAAATCAGGATCGGCAGGTTAGACTTTTTAGAGATTGATGATTGGCCAGAAAACTGCAATCAGTGCACCCCTAATCTTAACATAGTCTATAGTTGTCCATTATTTGGTTACATAAACTTCTGGTTTTATGCTAGCACAAATGGCAGCAGCTAACTAACAATTTTGGGTATTCTCTGTAGAAACTTTATTATAATACTACAGGGTTAACCATGTAAGAAAGGTAGTGTTATCAACTAGACTGTGCTTTCTGCAGTTTGTTCAGTGTGAAAGTGGTCAAGAAAATTTAAAACCAGTGATTCAGTCATCTCCTGGGAAATCTTTGCAATACTGCATGTGGCACTAAAATCAAAACCAAAAGTCCAAAAGTCTTGATGAATACTGCAGAGAAATTGTTTTCCTCTTTAGATGCTCGAAATGCCTTTTTTTTTAATAAGCATTTCTTTCACTTAAGCAATAATCTAACCTCTGATGTAGATGCAGGCAGTGCAGGATTCTCTGGATCAGTTGATGTGGAGCAACTGTGGAGCAAAGTGTTGGTTTGGTTCGTCTGATGCGTCGCAGCAAAACTATAATTTGTCTCAGGGGTTCAGTCATGTCGGACCAACTTTGAGGCTCCTGCTCCGTCCACAAAACACTGACTTGTCTGTTCTGTCTAAGGCAGCCAGCTCTGTCCTGATTCAGTTGTTTTTAGAGTGAGGACAAATACTCTGCTGTGGTTTTGTGGGACTTTTACTGTTCAGACAGGTGAGCTTCTGCTTGTAGCACAATCACTCTACAAAGTAAAAATCTCTATTGAGTTAGTTTGGTACCAGTTGTTTTGTTTCGTAGATATCCTGCATGTTTTCCTGTGACCTGCTGTGGAAAGGAAGTGATTTATCACAACAACCATGTCTGTGTCCAGACCTAAAACTGTATTCGTAGCAGTTGCGCATGATTATGTAGTTGGAACGCATTTTTCTAAAGAAAGAGGCCTGTGCACATTATGTGCAGATGTATCAGACTACAGAATCGAGTCTTTTAGATGCTGCTTGAAGAGAGCAGAGAGAGAGAGGGATGCTGGTGGTACCAGGCACTCGCACCCTAGAGTGATAAACAGAGGCAGTGAAAACGGGGGAGTACGAAGGCAAAAGAGCTCCACTACAAATCTGTGCTGACTTTAAAATGTTGTGTAATGTAAAACTACCGTAACTTATCGCCCTGTCTTTTGACAAAGTCCCAGCTGCTTTTAACATTTTATGGAAGAAAAGATATCCACCAAGTACCTAAAAGGTTTTTAAATAGATGGCTTTAAAACAGCTGCTGTAGTGAGGATGGGAACATTTTTTAAGCCCATCAGTTAGACATTACTGAACCCACTGCATGCATTATTGTTCTAATGTTCTGGGTTAAAAAATATCAAGAGGAAAAAAACAAACAGAAATACTGAGGTCACTTAACTGGGGTGGACTAAAAAATTTTGAGCAAAAAGCTTTATCAGCCTATAAATACCTGGTGTAATAAATAAATTAAATAATTACATTTAAAAAATGTAAATTTTAAAATTCTTTTGAAATGTAGTTGACGTGCAGCGAACCTTCATGTGTATTTAACATGCTGAGAATTGAAATGCCATGTATTGAATTCAGTTTGATATTTAGTGTTTTCATTAGAGTTCCATGAAAAGTATGCATTGTGTTATTACAACAGAGTGAGCAGTTTATATCTTCACAGAGAAGAGTTTCCTCCTCATGCTGCACCGCTGTGTCCAGAACATATAAATCAACCGGACTATAAAGCCGACTTTTGCCTTTTTTATGGTCGCCGTATTTTCTCCGACATGCCTGTGAGGGCAGCGTGAAGTCGAGCAAGATTCAGATGGTTTCTTCTAGATGTCACTAAATCCTACACCCTGTATCTGTAGGTTGCCTAGTGCTCTCTGTAATTAACCCTGTGGAGCTGTTGTCTGAGATGGTAATGTCTGGTTGCAAAGCATGCCATTCTCCTGAAAGCTGTAAATTATAGAGATGTTGCAGGTGAATAGAGAAGTGGAGGTGCAGTGAGATTACTGGGACTTAACCCTCCTGCTGCCCTTGGGTCAAAATGACCTACGAGGCCTCAGTGTGTAGACCTCATGCGTCATTTTGATCCAAGTGCAGCAGGAGGGCTGATGTACGTAACTTGTGCCCCCGCACACACAAAGACGTGTCCACATTACTTCACATCTATTGGTGGGGTTTAATCAGTTGATCACTAAAATGATACTAAGATGGTACCAAAAGTGTTGCAAAGTAAATGTGTCAAAATAAAAAGTTTGTTTATTGGAAAAAATGTGAATCTCAGAAAAATGCAACTCCATCCATCCATTTTTTTCCGCTTATCCGGGGTCGGGTCGTGGGGGTACAGCTTAAGTGGGGAGTCCCAGACTTCCCTCTCCCCAGCCACTTGGACCAGCTCCTCATCTATGGTCATGAGTTTTGGGTTGCGACCGAAAGAACGAGATCTCGGATACAGACGGCCGAAATGGGTTTTCTCCGCAGGATGTCTGGACTCTCCCTTAGAGATAGGGTGAGAAGCTCGATCATCTGGGAGAGACTCAGAGTAGAGCCGCTGCTTCTCCACGTCGAGAGGAGTCAGTTGAGGTGGCTCGGGCACCTGGTTAGGATGCCTCCTGGATGCCTCCCTGGCGAGGTGTTCCGGACACGTCCCACCGGGAGGAGACCCAAAGGAAGACCAAGGACACGCTGAAGGGACTATGTTTCTCGGATGGCCTGGGAATGCCTCGGGATTCCCCCGGAGGGTAGGAACGTAGATCGACCGGTAAATTGAGAGCTTCACCTTTTGACTTGGCTCTCTCTTCACCACGACAGACCTGTACAGCGCCCACTTCACTGCAGACACTGCACCTATCCACCTATCGATCTCACGTTCCATTTTTCCGTCATTCGTGAACAAGATCCCAAGATACTTGAACTCCTCCGTTTGGGGCAGGACATCCTCCCTGACCCGGAGAGGGCACTCTACCCTTTTCTGGCTCAAGACCATGGCCTCGGATTTGGAGGAACTGATCTTCATCCCGACTGTGTCACACTCTGCTGCCAACCGCTCCAGCGAAAGCTGTAGATCACAATCTGATGAAGCCAATAGGACCACATCATCTGCAAAAAGCAGAGACGCAATCCTAAGGCCACCAAAACTGATCCCCTTCGTCTTGTCCAAGCTCCAAAATTCACGATTGAAACCTGTGTCTTCATGTAAAAAGTTGTTTTTCTCTGCAAAAAGAAACTGAGAACTTGTTTACTGATTTTATTAAAAGCTTTGAGTGACAAATGTTATGCTAAAGAGCTTAAATCACACAAAGCGTCTGCCATTTTAAGAACCCAAGAGAGGCAGCCCATGTCACGTCAAGGGGCCTCCCTCCCATTTTTCTTAGAGACAACGCTGCTCTCTCCCTCACTATCCATCCTTCGGGTCAGTCTTATACTGCCATCTGGTGGTCAAAATAATGTACTACATGCAAAACAAACTAACCAACATTTCTTCGTAAATTTGACAATAATTACTAATTGTCAAATTTCAAACAATATTATCATTTATCGCAATAATTTCTAAGATAATTAATCGCCCAGCAACATTTGTTATCGTGACAGGCAACATTACTGCTGTCACTCACAGGTTCTGTGACGTTTGCATTATTTCGTTGAAACGCAACTGGTTGTGGAGCATGGCTGGCTTCACCAGAACTTTTATGAGTGATCAGAGGCTGTTTGAAGAGGGGCTAATCTTTGTCGGATTATATTGTGAGAAGGTCTTGTTTAATCTGAGGCCTTCGGAGCCCGTGG